TACAAACAGGCCAGATACTCTGGATCCAGCTCTAATGAGGCCTGGCAGGTTGGATAGGAAGATAGAGTTCAGCTTGCCTGATCTAGAGGTCAGAATGCTTTTTTTCGCTGCCAAGTATTTTCTGGTATCAGTGTTTCTTCAGTTGGGGCATTACTGTCTGGATGCAGTTTACAAGAGTTACTGAAAGCAGCACTCCTAACTTATGTGAAACTCCATGGAAACTTGAGGGATTAAGTATGTGCCAAGGAAAGTTTTCTCACGCTGCCCAGATTTCATCCCTGGTAAAGAAGCTGTACTTACGTTTGCTGTATATTTCTATCTTAATAGATAATCCTTTAACTGGTTCTATAATTTAGATCTTAAGTTGGAGTGTGCGTTATTTAGTTCTTTTTGAGAGCTTTCTTGAAATACTTCTCCCAGTAGAGCTCTTTAAGATAATTTTGTAATTCAGTTTCATGGACAATTATTGTTCCATTGCTCAATTATTCTAGTCCAGACATAGGAAATGACAGTCAGGTACCAAGTAAGAATTTTATTTTCCATTTGCCCTTGCTGGGGAAGAGGACAGCTGCACTGAGAGCAGGTCAAGTCGTCACCTCTTTCATTGTGTGAACATTTCTGTCTTCTGTGCTTTTCCAGGGGCGGACTCACATATTCAAGATCCACGCTCGCTCCATGAGTGTTGAAAGGGACATAAGATTTGAGCTGTTGGCTCGACTGTGTCCTAATAGCACAGGTAAGGTGAATTTCCATTTAGCCATTCTGTGTATGCTTCGTCTCCACTGGTGGTCAGTGTTGAACTTATTTGTCCTTTTTTTTTGAAAGGAGCTGAGATTCGCAGTGTGTGCACAGAGGCAGGCATGTTTGCAATCCGAGCACGCCGAAAAATTGCTACTGAGAAAGACTTCTTAGAAGCAGTGAACAAAGTCATTAAATCCTACGCAAAATTCAGCGCCACTCCCCGCTACATGACCTACAACTGATATCTTGGAGTGCTTTTCCTGTTTCTGCAGTTCAATTTTCTGTGAAACCAAAATCTGTATGTATGTGGTAACTCCTGGCTTGTTCTTGGAAGCTAGAAATAAATGAAGTGTTCCAAACAACAAGTGGGATTTCCTTATGAATGAGTTTTGCATTTAGTGGAGTCTTGCTGCTATAGAAAAGAAATCTCAAAGTCTAACAATATAGCAATATATTTTTTAGAGGGTGTACATACATGAAACAAGGCAATATTGAGCTAGGTCCCCAGTCACTGTTTATACCCCCAAACCTATCATCTCTGCTGTAGAGGCACTACAGCATTCCTAAGTGACTGCAGTGCTTCCTAAGTTTTGATATGTCATTACACAGAGGGTGACCTCGACTGGGTACTCATCCTTCATAGCTTACAGTTAGACAACATTCGTAGCAGACAATGTTAAAAGGGTGATCTTTATTCATCTACCATGTTCTTGCAGCTTGGTCACTGAAAACCAAGCCTTTCATTTTCTCTTTTTTTCAAGCGTTGCATGAAAGTAGAAAAAAAAGCTTGAAGGAATATGGGAATGTAAAGCTTTATGGGAACTGTTACATCTTAAATATGAGAAAAGTTATATCAGGCTTTCTTATAAAAGAAGTGTATGCAGAAGGAAAAGTGTATGCAGTGAATGGATATTGTTAGACTTCTGGCCAAAGCATCAGTGCCTTAATAAACAAATCTAGGCATTCTGGTGTATTTGCCCATGTCTGATCAAAAAACCGATCTCAATGGTTGTTTTTGTAAGAACATTTTTGGAGAGGGGTGCAGGTTTAGTGGTAGGAAGAGAACGTTGCCATTTTTTGAGCCAGAAAGTAAAGTGGCTCAGAAAGTAGCAATGATTCAATATCAGATTATCAATACAGTGCTTGAAATTAAATGCATCTTCTACTTGAGCAGGATGAGTAAAGGATGTACAAAGAATTTGGAGCTGATCAGGTATCCTGTATAATTGGTGCTTTTGCAGAGAATGGGGGAGGGGAATATTCTGAAAATTAAGTAGCATCTCAGCATCAAGCGAGAGTTGGGTTGTGCAGTGCAATTTGCTGCGGTGAGGCTGCAGCAGCGAGGATCTAAATGTAATGAAGAGGAGAAAGAGCAGAGCCCTCTCCTGAGTCCAAAGGATGTGAGTTTGTTTGATGTGCTGAACAGCTTAAGATAACTGAGAGTTTAAATCCTATCTAAACAGCAGTGGGGAGATGAGCTTTTCAGTAGGTAATGGGCTGGAGTAGGAAGCACTGGGTCAGCTGATAGCAGCAAAGCACACGACTGTGAGACTCAACAAAAGCTTCCAGATTTTATGTTGCTGGATGGATTACAACAGTGCTGGCAATAATCAGGAGCAAGTTACACAGTGCTAGTGCTGCACAGGCCGCATGTAGGATGGCCTTGACAAAGGCTTTTGATCCATTCTTTCAGCAGTTACCCAGGCAGAGCAGCATTAATTGCATCATGGTGTGGCCTGGTGCAGAGGGCTCTATGGGGGTGCTAAAGCCAGAAGGGTGAGGAGCAGGAACCTGAACACTAGAAAGCAAGCAAACTTCAGTGCAGATCTGCATCAGCATGATTTGTGGAAGTGCTTCAGAGCTGCTATGAAGAATGCAATGCAAAGGATGATAACCTCAACACAGGGAATGCTTCCTCAACTCTTAAACGATGGGTAATGCAGTCCATAACTACCTGTGAAGAAGACATCCGTTTGGTTCCCCCCTCATCATCTTTAATTTCTGTTAGCCCACCAGCAGGGAGGATTTCCTATATATTCACCTGAAGATTGTCCCCTCCTTCAGAAGGGTAGTATCAAATCTGGTGTACACACGGTTGTGTTGCTTTAACCCAACCCCACATACACGTGCGCACTTGTTTGCTCATTTGATGTCACAAAATACAGCTGACCAGTTGTAGGGAAAGGTATCTTGCCTGGAAAAAGCACTAGTTGCCCAGAAGCTACAGATTACTGAAGTAGAACCATAAGTAGGCATAACGTTTCTAGAGCTTTTCTGAAAGTCTCAGTTAAAGAACAGAAGATGTGCACAAGTAGGAGGAAGAAGGGAAAGAAAAACAGCACCAGCTACTTCCCAAGACCAACTTAGACTGTACATGGCTGCTAAAATGAGCAAGAGAGAGATGCATATTTTTGTTAGGTTTCTTTTTCAGAAGCATTGATGTTTCATGCTGGATTTGATGCCCGGAAGGACCTGTATACCAGTGGTAACCCTTCCCAGCCCACCCCTTAACAACAGACCGCAGTCCTGCAGTCCTTGGCTTGTCCCACATGCAGTGTCTTGCTGAGACAAAGTGGAGAGTTTCGACTTGTACTGATAATCACTTTATTTTAGAATTTGACAGGATTTTGATGTGAACAGAAGAGACTACATAGTTAAAAACCAAAGCTGCAACAAGCTGAAAGTAGAAAAATATATACTGTATGCAGATACAAAAGCTTGTCAAACTAGTAAACATTATAAAATGTACCCAAAGTTGTTTAAGTAAACGCACACTGTGTTAACGTGCATTCACACTTTGAACTCTAGCTAAGCAGTATCTTCTGATGCAGAAAGCTTTCTATCCCTGGTGGCAGGGCATTTGGAGAAAGAAAACATCTTCCCGTTGCCCCTGGTTCTCGGGAAACTCGGTTTGCCTGAAGCAAACCATAATTGCAACAGTGTGAACCAAAATAAAAAGTAGCAAGTTCTGCACTAAGAAGAGAGGAAATCATCTGAATTTCTGCATGCACAGGACCTTTGCTTTGAGGGTGCAAAACAAAATGGCACTGATCCTCCTCTACTGCCCATGTGCTACTGAAATATCTCACAGAGGAACACTTCCAGATTCCTACCTCTAACCAGTTTCATACTGATAGTTCAGGGAATAACAGGCATTATTTTGCTTGAAGTGTTTCCAAATTTTATGTTTTAACCTGAAGTTAAACAGTAAGAAAAAAGAAAGAAAAGAGAAAGAAAAAAGAAAGAAAAAAGAAAGAAAAAAGAAAGAAAAAAGAAAGAAAAAAGAAAGAAAAAAGAAAGAAAAAAGAACCTACTTTTTCATTAAAAATAGCCAAATGCATTTTTGAGTTCTACTGAAATCTATTTCACAAACACTTAAAAGCTGAGGCAGAAGCAGCTGTGCTGGTAGGTAGAAAGACATCTCAGGCAATGGAAAAGTACTTCTCTCTTGGACCTATGAGACTTCAGGCTCTATCTAACCTTCTATTCCAGCTTAAGAGACTGCATATAGGGCATCATTTCTTAAGTCCATTTTATCAGACCTCATTCCTGGCATACACAACTTTTGTCTTCAAACATGAGGACAACATAATTTTTGCTTAAAATGTGTTGTATTATTTTCTAGAAGGTATAACATGGTTTTGGCAGTGTAAGTACCATATTGATAACGTAATAATTAAACAGAGGTTTTCTAATATGAAACTCACAGTGAAAATAACTGGGCAATGAAGAGATCAGTACATTTGGGACAGGTTAGATATTTAAAAAAACAAAATGGTACCATCAAGATTTAAAAAGAACAGCAGCTAATGTCACCAGTGTGAATTCATTGATCCAGCTGGCAGAGTACTAGTTTATATAAATCTGTGGTATGCAGATGTTGACATCAGGCTTTAAAAACTGTTTAAGAAAATTCTGTAAAGACATTGGTACAGTACAATGGAACTGCAGAACAGCTATCTTCTGCAAGTGAGTTAAAGTGCCCATTTTCTCAACAGGAATAGGAATGTCACCTTGTCTATCAGATTGTAGCATAATACAATAACTTCTCTCATCTTGCATAACTGTGAGGTCATGTCACTGAACAGCTATACCCTGATTGAAGGAAAAAATTCAAGAGCATAAAGGCTTCCAATTCTTTGTCCATTCTTCCTACAGAAAGTAAGCCCCACTCTATACCCGTACATACAGACAGCCTTAGGTACTCTTTAACCTGTGCAAATTGAATATTCAAAGAAAGTCTCTATCAGCATAAGTTGCCACTCTTCAGTGGTCCAAGGCAGTCTGTGAAGCAGACCTGTCTTTCACTTGGCAAGCAAGGACAGCGTCGTGAATACTGTGAAACAGCAACTCTCTTGTTACAGTGTTATCAAAAAAATTCAGTCTGGTCAGCTCATTCATAACTGGGCCTACAAAATAAAAAAAAAACAAAAACACAAACATGGCATCAGTGCACAAACCAAAGTACAAGGATGGAAAACAGTATCTCGGGAAGACACTGACAAGAATTATTAAGTCCTACTTGTCACTATTTAAAACATTTAAAACATCCGGATGAGTCATTACTCTTCCACTCCAAAAGAAAGTAATCCTCCTTTCTAGCTATACGGAGAGGTCCGTTATTGGCTGAAGATGTTACAGTTCCAAATATTGAAGCTGAGAACACTTCAAGCTTTTGTTATTACATTATTAGAACAAGTGCAAGCTACAGTGTGTTTATCATTCACAGTTTGCCAGCTGGAAAAAATGGAAGCAAGATCTAGTCCTCAGAGAACTCATTACATCAATGTTTCACTTCCAGCAAAGTGAAGACTCAAGGAGCTTGCTCTTCCCCAAATCCAATTTTAATGCAAAATTAGCACTGAGGCACCTGGCAGCAGAAAATAAATTCAAGGCCAGAGGAAAAGAGATGAAATATAGTCTTTCCTACAAAGGTCACACAAAAGCTCAACTCACCACTACAGCTGGCAATGCAGACACAGACACCAACTTCTTTGTATTCTTTTATAACCTGCAATACAGTTAAACCAAAGTTAAACACAGGTATATCATTGTGCACATAGCAGTTCTGGAAGATGTAAGCTGGTTACCTTGAGAGCTGCACTTTCCACATTCCCCAGCACTCAGCTGAAACTTACGGAGCTACAGAATTAAAGTTGTGATAATATGAGATACTGTATTGTATCCCAGCTGACAGTTACATCCCAGGACAGGCTTCCTGGTGGGAACTTAATTTACATGTTATCTATGCTTTTGAAAAACAAACAAATAAACAAAAACTTACTGATTTTAATGTTTTTGCTCCAACTGAATCCACAAAGTTCACTGGGGAGAAATCCAGAATTAAAGAATGGATGCTTGTTTTGGGCTCCACAAAGTGTTCAAGCTCATCAGGAGACCCATCTTGTACACCAGCATCCACACATGCAAATTTTCCATTTACAGGTAATCCATCATTTGCTATCTCATGTTTTACGCTCGCTTCCACATCATTGGTCTGTGAGAGAAGATAAATACAATTAATGACAGCCAGTACTCATCCAGTGTAGATCCCCTTCCTATCCACACACATGTTCTTCCAGATGCCAGAATCAACAGTGTGGATGGTATCTATTTATTACAGCTCCTCATTTGAATTAATTTTATTATATCCTATTTCTGCATGATTAGTCCAAGAATGTAGGAGGAAGTAGCAGAAGTAGGATCCTCCACCTTCTGCTCACAGCACTGCTGTTACAGTATGACAGTGTGAAAGGCTCTGCTCCACTAACGCTGCGCCTGAATGTAACTAAGGTTCAACATGATTATCCATTGCAGTCACGATCCTCTGACCCACAGTATTCCTTAGCAGTCTGACCTTTACACTTCACAGCACTTCACAGTGCTTGTATTCCAAGCTTTCCTGCCTGAGTAGCACCCCGTATAAACAAGAATGGTAATACCAGAGAGCATCATGATAAAGTAGAGGTGAATATTTACCGAAGAATTCACTAGCTTCAGTACAGCCTTTTTTTTTACTTTATTGGCCTTCTCTACCTCCCTGGCATGCTTCTTCTGGGCTTTTCTTCTTGCTGCTAATATGGCACAAGGGTCCACTCCAGTCTGGCATGAAAAGAAAGCACGATCAGACGAGATTGAGCTTGTTAGGATGACAGCGCAGTATCAATTAGCACTGAATTCATCACTGCCATGAATTTCGAAGATGCCTGCATTATTCAGTGTTCCTTGGTGGTGGTGAGAACAGTATAAAGGAAGAAGGAATAATCTTCGCAAGCACTGTGTTAAGATGAGGAAGAGATGCATAACATTCCTCTCTTGAGATCAGAGGTGCCATATTTCAACAGAATGCTGATTTGAGTGCAGAAAGTGAAGGGGAGATAAGTGTGCGTGGACACAAATCGCTAATACCTCTTGCTTTCTGAAGAAGTACCACCCACCTCTTTTGAGTAAGACTCGTCAAGGGAGCTACAGAAAAATGGTTCAGAAATTAGTAAGGATGTAATTGCTACCAGGTCAGGCAGTTTTGTTACTGCCATCCCCACTCAGTCAGACCTGGGTTAGGCAGGAGGTGAAGCATACTCTGTACGTTGTTTATTCCCTCCCTGTGTTGCTGTTTGCTAAAATGGTGTGCAGTTGGCTGCAGGATTACCTTCTCATATTTTACTGATGACCGGGGGGCACCAGAGAAACACTGCACTAGGGGCTACACCTGAAGGGCCTGAAAGATGAACGCGTTTCAGAAAAAAAAATTTGAAATTTCAGGACATAGGTATTAAAGATTTTGCTTTACTCACCTTTTTCTTCAGTGCACTTGTGTATGACTCACTATTGGCAAAATAAAGTGACGCATTAGCTTGAAATATTTTTATTCCAGGGTATTCTTTAACCTAAGGAAAAAAAAAAACATTGATGTGTTAAGTATTGCCTTGCATAGGTACAAGACATGAGGATACTTGTAAACACACAGCCCAAAGGCCAACTCAGAATGGGTATTGGCATGTATCAAGGATAGTCAGCAGTGCTGTGAGCAAAGCCAACTGGAAGATCAGAGCCTCCACCCTTGCAGGTGTCATATTGCACAGAATCAATGTCATGTGACACTTCTGTTTAGAATTTAAGAAAACAAAGATGTAGCATCTGAAGGAATGAAATATTTACAGTTCTCTGATGTTTCTATTTGCGGCTGATATTAATATGAGGAAATCATGCAGATCTAGGAACACTTTCTTTTAGCCTCCCTTTATATGGGCATGATTTCCTTCTTTCTTTCTCTTTCTTTCTTGCGTCCTCAGCTACACAAGCAAGAGCCTTTAAGATTCTTGGTTGTAAACAGGCCTTTTTGTAGGTCTCAATATCACTTCTTACCTTTACTTTAAATTAAGTCATCTCTGAGCAGCCTGCACTCTGACATTTTACATGAAAACGACCTGACCAGCAGCAGAGATCCTATGCTGCCAACCTCATCTTTATACAGGAGTAGCAAAAGCAAATTGGACTCGATGTAACAAAAACAAAGTCTCCTCTTCTTTGAATATGGCTATAAGCATGTCCGTATACATATATATATATATATATACATACACACACACATACATATATATACACACACACACACACACACGATACTTTGCATCATATTCTAAATAGAACTACTGGTGAGAGAATGTTTTCAGTTACTGCATCGTCTTTTCATATAGGTTTTTATCAACTGGTTCTTGAGTAAAAAGGGATGTAGCCTTCAAAGCAGCACCTATGAGAACATGGCAAAGCATACAGGAAATTGTAGCTGCTGTTTGTGAATAAATGCAGCATGCTTAGCTCATTTATTGCTAGATCCTATGTATTTAAAAAAATACTGCTTTTGCCAGCTTTTGGTTGAACAATATCACATTAATAAGAAGCTAAGCGCATGGCAAGCAATTATGCCATTAATCAAGCCTGTTTAATGAGCAGGGGATAGGATGAAGGCAGGGAGATGCTGTTTAATAAAGCTTGTGCCTGGGGCCCATGGTACAGGAAGGATGTGGAGCTATTGGAAAGGGTCATGAAGATGATCAAACAGCTGGAGCACCTCTCCTGTGAAGAAGGGTTGAGGGAGTCGGGCTGGTTCAGCCTGGCATTCCAGCCTTCCAGTACTGTCACACAGTTAAAGAAGCTGGCCTTGTTTGCAATTGTGTACACAGCAGGTACAGCATTTATATTTCTACAAATCTTACCATTCTGTACTAGGCCAGCACAATGATAATTAGCGTAAAGGTTATTTTTTATCAGCTCCTAGGCAAACATACATGCAGGACAAGAAGGTAGCATTCTAAACAATATGGCTTTTCCTATTAACATTTATTTGCTTCCTGAAAGAATATCACAGGTGCACACCAGACAGCTGCCACAGTCATCTTTGTTCCAATACATAAAACCACGCACAAAAATACACTCCTACCTCTTCATACTCTTCCACATCACAGTAGATATCTGTGTCAGGAATCTGACCAAGGATTCTGTATTGAGGTCTGGAGAGAAACGGAGGCAAACATTTCACTATTATCACTTAAAAAGTGGAAAAGTGAGTACTTAAAATATTTTGAATCTTATTTTAAATAGTCGTTCTGCCTGCCACAATTTTATCTAAATGTGCTCAAATGCAGTGGGTAGTGTGGAAGAAAAAAACCAAGGGGCTATTGAGTGATAAGACATGCCAATTGCTTCTGTCAGTGCAGAAACAATCTAGAAACAGCACTGTAGTGCTGCCATTTTCTGAACAGCATTGGCCACAGCATGTGGAATTTACAGAGCAAATTTTCTTTGGTTTGAACTGGTGCTACTTCATTGACTATCTTATAAGTACAGCAGCTCGGACTGGCACAATATATGCTGCAGCTCCAAAAAGCCTGCTCCCAGGTCAAGCATGCCTGAGAAGATGAACATTCCCAACTCAGAGGCAGTATGACAGCAAAGAACTGTGAAGTTTGCAAGGATCAAACCACGTACAGCTGACAGAACAATATGCTTATTTATGCAGAGTGGAAATCTCAGGATTTGGTTTCACTCCAATGCAGATGGGAAATGAAGACTTTTACAGATTTTCCATCTAGATAACCAACACCTTGAGCACAGGGGCCTTGTGTAACAGGTGAAGTCCTATTCATACATGCTAGAAATCATTCTGCTCTAGATCTGGAAGACAACTTTTACGGTGAACTAAAAGCTTTGTACTGACAGCAAGAAGTGATCTGAAAAACTGGAAAGACACGGATACTTTTTTGATGAATTAAAACTTCTTTATAAAATACTTAAACATTCAGCTAGCGATAATCTGACACAGCTTCTTTAGTTTGACTGTGACAGTGCACAGAAAAATTAATCATTTACTGAACCTAACACCAAACAGGTTTGAAGTTCTGAATTCCAAGCATTAAAAACAAGTTAAACAAGATTAAATTAAGTAAGAATTCAAAATTCCCATCTATGACTGAAATTCTGTTCTCAGAAAAATAAAATTTGAACCCAAGATCAGGGCCATGGGTCATGTCCTGCATGAACTACATTATTAAGCAGATTCTATACTGTATGCAGTTGAAGGGAAAGGTCTGCTGCTTATTTGCATCCCTTAAACAAACAAAACCACACAGAAGTCCAACAAACACTGATGTTAATAAAGAAGAAATCTGACCTTTGTGTTCTGTAAATAACGGTTATCATTGCAAATGCTACTGCAGTAAGCAAGCCGTAGTCTAGTCCCAGGAAAAGAGAAGCCACAAAAGCTACAACCCAGATGGCCTAAAACAAAGAAAAGTTCTGAATTAATATGCATCTCCTGTTAACACAAAAACAATACCATTGTTCAGCCTGAAGCCTATGTACCTCTTCTGCTCAGGAACATGCTAGGATGTAATTCATCATGATAGCAGATTGCAATTGCCTTAACCTTTGAAAAGCATGTAAGAGCTCAAGGCACATTAACATAACATAAATTGTCCAAAATTAATAAATACATTAAGTCCTATTCTCCAAACTGAGTTAACAGCAGACTCCCAATGCTGAAGGATAAAGAAACATACAAAGTGTGCTAAAGTAGCTCTCATTTATTTTCATCTTTTACTGAGCAGTTGTTGCAAACTCTGCTACTTGCAGCGTGAACTGTTAGCTGTATAAATAAAATACATAAAGAAGGATTGCCCTGAGAACTCCTGAACAATTAATTGTCTTCGCCTGGATGAGGCACCTGATTCCATACATATGCTGAGAGGAGCTTGCTACTGAAAAGGAAGAATTCAGTGCTTCAAGTGTGCTAAGGTCTCTGTGCCATACCATATAGAAACTAGTTGCATTTCTGAGCTATTCCACAGATCTCAAAGCTCAAGCCAATAATGGGGACATACCATTTTATTCTGATGATCTCAAGGATTTAGTTCTGCAGTTGTCCAGAATTTTGGAAATCATCATATATATATATGCACTTAACTCCTGATGTTGGGTATTTGACCCATGAGGTCAAGAACTACCTATGTGTCAGTACATTGAGGTCTCTGCCACCTTTCCAAGTTCCCCCAAAAGTAAGCACATGTCATGGTTTTATGTTTTTGTTTTTGAGTTTCAGTATTCCACATCAAAACATCATGTAGTGTACTGGGCATTAAAGTGTCACTGCCCCAATCCCAGGTACCTATCCCTGTACATTACAGCAGTCACGGGATCTGGCCCTTCCAGGTGGGGGGGGCGCTCTCTTGCTGCCTTGCAGTGGGTGCTGGAGGTGCTTTCCTAGCTGTTCCAAGCTTTTCAGGTTTGACTCGGTCCCGGGAACTCTCTCTCTCTTATCTTGTCTGATTTATTAATCTCAATTTCAATTAAATTGTATACATTGTGTTATTTTGTATTCCGATATTATAGTAAAATTAGTTTTCCTCCATAGATTGTTGCCGCTGTTTTTTTTCCTCCCTTCCTTCCTTCCCATTTTTGTGGGACTGGGGTGGGGGGGGAGGGCAGAGGCCTGTCGCCCCTGTCACGGACATAGATTGATCTGGTCAACTCCGTGACAGCACACTGCTATAAATCACACATCATCTTTATGTCAATGACAAACTAACATTAATCCAGAAAATCACTATGGACAGGATTGTGGTTAATCTTAGAGGATGACAAATGCTTTCATGTAGTTTTCTGTTACTCTGTTTCAAATTCCTTTCAGACTTTCCTACAGCCTTCAGTACAGTTCCTATAGCAACACTGCGAAAGCTCTGCTTTTACCACAACTAAACTACTTCTGATCTGAGCTAAACGCTGTTGAACAAGCACAAAAACATTCTTATCTGCAACAGATCACTCTCCAAGGGTATTTAATGTGTTACAATGCAGTTTGTAATTTCCTGCTAAGTTTCTACACTGTTTTGGAGGATAGGGAGGAGCAAAACTTTTACTGCAGTTAAATATATGCTCTAAAAGTCCATTACTCACCAGTTCAATCTTACTGGTTCTCCAGAAGTGAGCAATGTCTCCAAACTGTTTAAACATTCCTTTCAGGTTCACCATTACAATTGCAGCCAGCACAGTCTAGGAATATTACGAAAACGTTATTTTCAGAAGCAAAATATACCTACCTCAAAGTATCAAAAATAACTGTTTTCTGTGCTCATAAAACTGATATAGGTCTACTGCAGATGTTCAGCTTAACAAAGAACTTTTCAGGTAGTTCAGTGGAGATACATTTTTCTTCCTGTCACAGAAATGGCAAGCCAGAATCAGTACAATTTGATTTACTGTCCTTCCCAGCAAGAGAAATCATGTATTCCTGAGCTTCAGGCTGCTGCAGTTATAATGCCTGCAGTACTTGCAGCTGGACTTTAATCTCAATCTTCAAGTTTCTCTGCAATATCTTGTAAAAATTCTGTGCAGTCATATGGGTGTAAACCAAGATATATATCTTATTAAGAAAGCAAACAAACACAAAACAACAAAACAGGAATCGCATATCATCCCGTGCATGTCATCAGAATCATGTGGGGTTTTTTTGATCAGTGTGCATCCATCCACATGAATAAATTTCAATAGAAATAAGTAAAATTGTTTTTACTTCAACTCATTATGCTGAGCCATCACCAAACCCCAACCCTCTCCAGCTGATTTATAACTCTCATTTAACTTTTCAGCCTCCTTCCAGAATTCCTATCCTGCAACAAAATGGGAATCATTTGAAGATATTAATTTTATGTCTTAAAAACAGAGTCCAGGATGCTCAATATTAAAAACAACAGCAAAACAGCACGCTGCATTTTTCAAAATATTTATTAATTGTCAATCTAACTTACAGCAAGAATTTACACAAAATTGAAGGGTTTCTGAACCAAGCCCTGACTGGACTTACTCATCAACCACTCTACAATCTCTGCTGTAAGCAATACTAGCTGGCTTCTGTTCACTGACATGCAGTGCTTAGCAGGCAAAACTACCTTACCTGTGGAAGTGGCTCAAAGAGGTATCCAATTGCCACAATTACCAACAGAACCATAATTGAAGAGAGTGCACCTGCAATCTGAACAAAATGAGCAAGAAATGACATCTGAATAGCCAGAAATGCCCCAACAGGGCAGTGTTACTCATGAGCTAACGCTTCCTGTGCTTCCCAAAAGGCCAGTTGAGTCATTTCTGATCCCTCCCACAAAATTTGTCCAATCTCACTGTCATGCAGCCTCCTATCCTGGCCCAGACAGGATATGAAACAGTGGAAACTGCAGTTCTTCTTCTGGCCAAGGCAGAGAAATAAGGCAGTCTAGTGAAACTCCAGTCTTCAGCTTTGGAACACAAAAAATTGAAAGAAAAAAAAAAAAAAAGGAAAACATGAAAACAAACTTTGGCTCCAAATTTGGGTTTACATACCTGAGTTTTCCCACCAGTGCTTTCCTGAACAAGACTCCGGGACATTGAGCAAGTGATTGGAAAGCTTTGGAAAAATGACCCCACAGAATTACATATTCCCAAGGCAATAAGTTCCTGTGTAAAAAAAATCAGAGCAAAACAAAAGTTACACCTAGCAACTGTATGAAGATGGAGCTATCCTTACACAATAACAACCACCTCTTATTTACAGTGCTTTTATAGCTACCTTATCATAACTTGTGCATGTGAGAGAAGCACAAGTACAAGTTAATGCACATTAAATCATCTGTTAAATGAAGTATTTGATAAAGTGCTGGAGACATTTCTCATCCTTAAACGTTACTGTGATTAGTGAGACTGAAAATTAAAATGAATGACAGAGTTGTTTGTTTTTAAGAACTTTTTCAACTCCTGGATAACTTGAATTTTAATGCTAAAATTGCATAAAAAATGGTTTATCATACAAATAATGTTCTCCGCTTTCTACTCTAAAATGTTTATTTTATTCTTAATAAATAGATAACAACTGTATTACCACCCACAGGAAACAAACCATCTATTTGCAATGGATAAATAAAAACATGATTGGAATTTCTAAAACCATATATAATGGTTCTTTGGTACAGAAGACAATATACTTATCACATGGGAACTCAATGTTTCACTGTGAAAGAATGCAGAAGTAAAACAGGTGCCTACCAGGAGAGTAGCCTAAGTAATGGCTGTCCCAACAATTATTATTTGTGCACACATCCAACTTTAACCAAAGTTTCCCAAAACAAAGGTATAAGTGTAACTAATCATTAAAACAGAGCTACAAGAGCTTAAAATAACTCCTGGCATTTAATCGTGTAAGCTGCCAAAAACTTGATTCCACAGTGAAAGAAAAACCCATTCTTGTCCCATATGTCTTTCTGCTTTAATAAATAAATGAAGGTGATAGTGAACATTTTCCATAGAAAAATTCAAATACTTTTACCTGATTCCCATCAATGGTGTAACCATGCTTAAGGGCAAAGATCTTGGCCATAGATACAGCCATTGAAAATCCAACTATTGCTATTGCTACTGCATCTATAAATATTGCTGGGATGAGTTGAATCTCAGGAACTGCTGGTGCACTTAACCTTGGAGAAGAAATAAACGTTTACAATTACTATAATAAAAGCTACACATTATATGAAAAAGGTATAGTTTGAATGAGAATGTAACACCCCTACCCTTGAGGAATTTTCCCAACAACATCCACTCCATATGACTCAGTCAGATTCATTCCAGCTGAAACTCCTGTGCCGATAATGACCTAAAAACCCGCAAATGCATCAAGGGCTAAGAAGAGATAAATATGTCTGAAGGAATAACAGCTTATTGTAAGTAATACACAAAGGATAACATTCATTTGTCAGTCAGTTTTTTAAGAGTTAGTGGTTATAGAAACAGATAAAAGAAGTTCCAAAGTTTTCCATTCATCACCTTCAACCCTTGCTGATTTCATTTGCTGGAGACAATTAAACGGAGCATGTTGTGGTATGATACAAATCACACAAATACCCCTTGCTTGAGCTAAGCCCAGGTAGAATAGCATGTATTAGGAAATGCAAACAGCACCACAGAATAGCATGTATTAGGAAACTCAGTGAAAAGAAGGACTCTGCTGCCATATCTTCTTGTGCAGAGTATGCATGTTATCTGCAGAAATAACAGGTGCTACAGGTCTAAGATTGTGATGCTATTGCCTTACTATTAAACAATACTCTAAAGCATCTCCTCCAACATCTCTGAGAAGCACCTCCTTTCTTCATTCCTCATGCCTTCACCTACTCCCTTGGCTGTGATTCCGTGCAAGTTGTTTGCTAGCTCTAGTTATCTGAGAACTCATTTTTAAATCCAAACACTTTAAAAAGTGAAAGTTAATGTGAGATGTGGACTAGTAAGATGGTCTGATACTTGACTGCAGGACTGATTGTATTTTAGAAGACTACACTAAAATCCATGCGTAGAGAAGTTTCAGAAATAGAGAAAGGAAGAAGTCCCACTGTTTCTTGCTCCTCTTTCTACCACTGCATTTTAAAAAGAAAGCAAGCCCTGCAGAACCTCTGGAACAGGCATCCATAAGCACCTTTCCTCAGGAGGGGATTCTGAGCTCTTGTACTCCATGCTGCTCAGAGACATGTCATGCTGAGACTCACTCAGGTGCCAAAGCTCAATTCTTATTTGGGAGCTCACGCCTAAAACTTGGGTACATCAGTGCCTAAACCTCATGAGCATCCAAACACTCAACTGGACCAAGTCTCAAACAAATTACATTCCACAGAAGTTACCTTAAAGCCCCATAAGACTTGATAAAAAATGAGATTTTTTTCTACAAAAATTCTACAACTTTAGAAGAGGTATGTAATTAAGCTACAGAATTTCACAACTGTCTTACCACAATGATCTCCATAGGAATAGGAACTGGCAGTTTCTTCTTAAAGCGGAGATTGATTTCCTTGCCAATCAGCAACAGAACAATGCATGTTAATCCAACAATCAATGCAGCAATATTGGTTGTTGTTATTTTTGAGAACACAGCAACTAGGCTCTGTAAGACAATAGGAGTATCTCCATGAAGGTCATAATTATCCAAATTTATTTTCTTAGGGTGTTTGCCACTGCTGTTTTTATTCTACATCTATAACTGCAGCTAATCATTGCTTCACCCAAATCCCCGTTGTTCCAACAAAATACAGAAGTTCAGAGTATCTCAATGAGGGAAATAGATTTGCAACCATTTATAGTACCAATCTTACTCAAATGGATCAAAAATTTGAGAACAATTGCTATAATGGGGAGAAAAGACCAAATCTCATCTCTTATGCTCAGCATTTTCACACATATTTCATACAGGCATGGACATGAAAGGAGTAAATACCAATCTCTTCTAATACCTTCAAGTATTCTTTGGCAAGTCACATCTACTTACAGCTGCAAAAGCCATTTCTAAAGGATAAAGCCGCTGATAACACCACTGAAGTTACCATAGCAATGTGATTAAATAACAACAATCTTGCAGCAACTGGCCATTACTGCAAAGTTCTTTCAGCTGAAAAACACCATTAGAAAGGGTGTGAAAGAAGTAAGCTTGCTGAAACATAGAAGTTACTAGAGGGTAAATAAATCCTCCAACCATTACTCCATCTTCTTCCATAGCATTTTAAAAAGAAGACATAAATGACCCCTGGAGAGGTCTTTGAAAGAAGATGTACACATTCTACTTTAGACAGAAGGAAAACTACAGCAACTATAGGGATATTATCAGAGTTCTGGCAGCTCACCTCAAATGCACACCTTCCCTCTGATTTGTTTGGCAGTCAGTATCCTCATATCTATATTACTGAACTAAACAGCAAATTCAGCAAGTAATAATTTAGCAAAATAATTCAGCAAACCTGTGTGGCCTTGTATCCAAATTGTTGAATCTGTGCAATTACACAAGAAAGATTTCCAAGAAACATTTCCTACAGCCTTCACCACTGTAACTGAAATACTGATTGCTCAGCAATAAAAAAGCTTCAATCTGTTTAAAAGCTTTGGTTCTCACAGATACTTGAGACTTTCCCTATCCTTCTACTCAAGATTTTTTGTCTGCAAAATTGCAGCACTGATTATGTAAACTTGGAGCTTCCTAGAATGGTAGGCAAATCAGATCTGGATGCATTTCAACTCTGTTGTTCATAACAACAAGAAAAGTAATCACAGAATCACAAAACAATTGAGGTTGGAAGGGATCTTTGGAGGTCATCTAGTGCATCCTCACTGCTCAAGCAGGGTCCCTTTGAGCACATAACCCAGGACTGTGTCCAGGTGGCTTTTAACATCTCCAGAGAAGGAGACAACCTCTCTGGGCACCTAAGCCAGTGCTCAGTCACTCTCAATGTTTCTAATTGAAATCATAACTAAAGCTTTAATTTATGCTTTGGTTGTGATTTCTATTAGAAATGTCCCTTTAAACAACACTTTGCTGTAAGGTATCTATTAAGTTTCTTTCCAAGTACCACTGTCAATTTTAAATTTAAGTGAACAAGAGCTTTTGAATTTACTGAAGTCATATTAACCAAATAACAGCTTTACACTGCATGGTTTCTCTTCTCTCCTATAATTATGAAGCAAATGTTGTGCATTAGACAGAAGGTGTAAGGAAAATAAGGCTATGAGCTATGCCAAATACTGGATCACTGTATGCTCAAAACAATCAGTTCTAATTTGATAGTCTTTAATACACAGTACTTTTTACACGGAATGCCTTGTTTTAAAAAATAGTTCTCTTCCAGTGCTTTAAAGAACAGGTACATTTATGATGGCACAGCACTTTATGTCCAGTCACACTGCAAAACAGCTTACAGACAGGAAATGAAGAATACAGCCATCAGGAACCATGTGTGAAACTCAAGAAATACAGACCGGAAAGTTCTGAGAACATTTCCTACTTTTGGAAAACATCTCTGGTTTACAGTAAAACATGTCATACAAAGCTTCAGGCTTCTATTTCATTAGGAGGACAGATGTTTTCCTACAAGAGACCCATTGCAATGAGTTTCATCTGCTCACGCTGGAGTGTGCTGATTTATTCTCACCCAAGATACACTTTAAGATGCTCAAATATTGCTATAGTGCTTAAAGATCCGACACCAAGTTTTGAATATTAAGGAACTGTTCTACTTAGTGGCAAAATACTTTTTTTTAATAGAAGAGGACTTAAGTACTAGACCATGACAATGTGGCATTTACACATCTAGTGAAAGTAGTTACTTACATACACAACTGAGAGGGGTCCACTGTATCGGCTAGTCTTTACTCCAAGCAGATACTTTAACTGTGATGTGAAGACATGAACTGCAGCAGCAGTAGTAAATCCTCGCACCAGAGGCTCTGTTAAATAGATGGCAACAAACCCAAATCGAAGGAAGCCTAAACACAACTAATGAAGAAGAGAAACGGGAACTGTGTGACTCTCATTGTAATCTGAATCTCAGCAGTACATAGCAGACAGATCTTCTTATCCTCAAGCCAAATAAGGCAGGCCTGACCCAGGCCCTTTCATAGCCTCGATTCAGGAAGTAGCCATCAGTGCACCAAATCTTCCATTCAACTGGCAGGTACAACACAAGACATAAGTAAACAGGTGCTTGTATGCATTTATGGAACATCACGTAGAGTTCTTTTCTGACAAGACAGGAAAGAATGAAAGGGGAGGTCTTGTTTTTGCCAGTCAAGCCAAGAAGCCCAGACACAGACTTGCTTCCCACGCATCTCCCTGCAAGCCACTTCTGCTGCATGGCTGCCATGAAGCAGCCTGCATTCTACACAGCACACTGCTGAAGCATCAGTCTGTTGAATGAGATCCGCTGCCCCTTGCAGCTGCAAGTCTGGCAGCAGCTCTTACAACAAACTGTGTGCACATACCTGGATAATTCCCGAAAGAAAGGCGAGGGTCACAGCTACTTGTACCCGCTTGTCATCTCTAAGACCAAAGTAATCTGAGGCATCTGTAGTGTTAGTTGAGTTATAGCCTACAGAGATCACTTCATCAGGCACTTGTCTCACAGCAACCCCACCAACCATCATACTAATCACAGCAAAAGTGCCTGAAATAAGGGGGAAAGGAAAATAATGAGTTAAAATTCTGGCAGGTGTAAGGAACAGTTCCAAGCTTCCTTACTACTGCAAAGACCCATGGAATTATTTGATAATAGATTCTTCCATCTAAATAGCATATTTTTTAGTCACAGAAGTTACTCCAGTACTCAGCATCACTAAAGCTATTTAGATATCAAACGCAGACCTCTATGGTAAGTAAACATCATCCATTTTTCTATCTCAGTTTCTATTATGCAAATTAGAGACTCATGGCCAGACAGATGGTCGACAACAGAGATGAAATCATAGTTCAGGAGTTCATAGCACACGTTTCTAGATGTAAACACAACCCTCTTGCCCCAGCTCTTTATTCTTTCCTAAGCAGGATAGATAAATTAACAATAAAAGAATTTGCTCACGCTCAACATATTTGTGTATTGCTTATTCACTTAAATGTGAGTTTACAGAAAACCACTACATTTTCTATTTATGTAACTTAATTTATAGAGCTTTGTTAGGCACAAACACACAAAGAATTTCAGTTATCCATACAGTTATACCTATTGATATATGCTTGGAGGTCCCAAAAAAAGTATACAGAAAGACAGGATAAAATGAGGAATATAGGCCAAATACTGGGGGAACAGCTGCCAGCAAAGCATAAGCTAAACCTAGAAAACAAACACAAATACATATGTTAGCAAAAAAAAAAACAATTTCAAGCAAAAGAATTCAGGTCTACTAAAGCTGAACTTGTCTAATATGAGCATCAGAGATGTATCACAGGTAAAGAGAAGTCTTGCAGAGAATATTCTTAAATAAATACACATAGTAGTTTAAAACGGTGCCCAGAAACTTGAGTGATTTAATTCAGGAAAAAATAAGTCTGTAACTACAGGGACTGCAGATGTGCATGGGTTTGTTAGTTTGTGTGCACATATCTTTGGTTGGAAGATTAAGAAGAAACAGTTAACAAACACATTTTGTGTTTTTTGTTCTCAAAAAATGAGTGAACTCTCCACCATTAGAAATCCAGAACACATTTGATTTTTCTCCTCCTTTTTAATCATACATGATTTTCATGGCATCTTACAACTGACCAAACACTTTCTTCCTCGCCTCTTCCCAGAACGTGTGGGATTACATAACAGTTCACATATCCATAAAACGTGTTCCTGAGTGTATAAGAAACAAGGAAGCATTGTTTATGATCCAGTAAGACAAAGAGCTTACAGTTCGTATTCCTTCCAGTATATTCAGTAAATGAAATTGATTTGTTATTAAGACATGCAGTCCCTTGCAGTCGAAGTGCAATCCACACTATTTCCTTTTGTTGATGGAGCTGGCAAGCATGAGGATAAAGCTGTGGGAGAACAGCACTGAGGGAAGCCAGGGAGGGACACCTCTCACAGTGCTCTCACTGCATGGGACTGTATGAGTGCTTACCATGGGACTGCACTCACTAGCAGATGGTGTGCATCTCATGATATGGAGAGTAACTGCACTGAACAGTTCAGCATATTCAGTAGTTTTACATGACTTGCACTATAGAGAATGATGCATCCTGGCTTGATTAGTTCTCCAGTTCACCTAGACAAGTGCAGAATCACAACACACAAAGAAGCTGTGTTACCACATTCTAGTGAACTGCTCCAGTCTGAGCCTGAAAAGCTCAAAAGTCCATCACTCTTAAAGGATTCAGTGCTTTGCCCATAAAGAAGAGTTAGTTGATACTCTACAACATCTCTCTATTAATGTATTTTTAAATCCAGAGACAAAGCACGAGATTATCCTGAAAGAACAGACCAGGAAGGAATCTTCTGTGTCATCCAAGTAGTCTTGCACAATTCAGTATCTCACAGGAACTTGCTGATGCCCAAACTGTCCGAGACCTAACCAATCCAAGAATTCATATTTCTAACAGAACTGGATTGATGATACTGTTATTTTATTGCAGCAATGAGCTTTTAATTTAGTACTTCTGAAACTCACCTCACATGTACGTACTCTCTGTCCCAGGGGCTATTTCACGCCAAGAGCATCAACAGAACATCCTGTACCACAACATCCTGGCCTTTAATAATGCAATGAACTTACCAGTAAAAGTGACTGGAACTAAAAACCAGAGCTGTCAAAGTAGGAAGGTGGGTCTATGAATACCCTTTTATTCTCTTCCCTTTTCACTTGTACTGGCATTTTTTAAAATACTGTCAGTGCCAAGGAAATAAAGAGATATTGACATGAGAGGAGTTCACTGCTCAAACCTGGCAAGATTCCCAGGCTTCTTTGACCTCATTCTTGCCATAATGACATCCTTTCCAGAAAAACAGGAGTTCAACTTATGCCTTTTCAGAAAGGGAAAGATCAAGAGCAGTTCAAGGGTATGACTGCAATCACTGAAGAAAAGCATAATGTTTAGTTTAAAACAAAGTTACAACATTAAGTTTAAAGTTCACTGCTGACCACTTACATTTTAGTGCCCTTATCTAGTTCATCACATAAACTGTACATCAGTATACACATGGCAATGTTTGTGCCTAATGCCTGACAGATTTCTCTAAAAGTTCACCACAGCAGTGATCTGTTTAAGATAGAATCATAGAACAGAATCATAGAATGGCCTGGGTTGAAACGACTATAAAAATCATCTAGTTTCAACTCCCCTGCTATGTGATATTTATGTTTGTGTAAGGAAGAATCTTTAATTATTCAAAAAAAAAAAAAAAAGCATTAATCAGGTAAGCTGCAAAATTAAAAAGGTCAATTGCACTAAGTTAGGATATTTCATTGCCTTAATGGATCATCCCATAAAAATCTAGATTTCTAAGATTTACAGACTCACTCTTCAGACCTGCCTCAGCCTAAATGGGAATGAGTGAAGCAGAAATAGGAAATAAGCCAAAGCTTAATTAAACTTAAGTAAACTTTTGTATGCTTCATTATCCTTAACATGAGGATCCCGCTGGACTGGGCTCTATAAAAAAAGAAAAATCAAGGATCCTCTCTAATCCAAGAACTACTGGGACAGCAGCTGTTGTCATGACACTGCCATTCCCAAGAAAGTAATGGCACCCCATAATGACAGTTCAGTAAAAATGATGCCAGTTTTAACACTGCAGCAGCTCTGAAATTGCTGATAGTCTCAGATTTAACAAAAGGCTTCACTAGCCCAGTCACCAAGAACTAAAATGAATACAGTTTCCCTCCTATTCTTCTACAGAATCTGCTCCAGCTTAAAAGCCTGGCTCTACTAGGTGTGATACGTCCAACTAGCTTAATGGAAAGTCCAAAGATTTTCATTCTTGTTACGTATGTTTCTCTTGATTTATTTTCACCATGCCAACTGTTGCCCACTACTACATCAGCACAGAGATGTGTCTAATATGCGATGTATCTAATAGGTGGTAGTAGCTTAAGATGGTGACTTCTATCCTTAAGACAGAAGCCTCTGATTTCTTGCACATTCTTCTCTGAATTATTTTAGTTTGGTTACTTTACAACAGTTGCTCTCCTATGGAATATCCTGCCAGAACTACTCTTGAAATATGATTCCTATTACATCCATTGGATACTGCTACACTCTGTGGGGAATTTCCAACAACTTTCATGATGAGGAGATAAGAAGATAATTAGGTGCATTAAGCACAGGTTTAAACATGCACTTAAACTAAACAGTTATTCTTTCAGAGTTAAAATATTTTACAGTGACATGCAATTTTCAGGGCATTCTCCTTACTGACTGTCTGCTGAATGCTATACTGACCTCCAGGCACACACATCTGAAAGACCCATGCCATTTTCATGGGCACCCATTCAGGAAGCCAATCACTAGCATAAAAGCAAACACAGAAAAAGAAAAGCAGAGAATGAATAGATCCACAGAGGTACTCACCTTGCGGAAGCTGCATAACTCCAGTGCTTATACCTGAGATAATATCTCCTAATAAGTATTCCTTCACCGGGTAACGGGGAAGCCATTTTAAAATTGGTAAGAAACTGTAAAGATGAGACTTGGCTTTCTTAGAAGAACAACTGAAAAGACAAAGCAGAATGAAAAAGTTTGACACTAGCAGCTCAAAAAAAAATTATGACCTTTATTTTCTATGCAGCATAACAGCTCCATTAAACACAGACTCAGATTCCTGATTACAGTGTTTTCTGTACAAAGCTTAAGCACAAACAATCATGACTCCAGTTACTTCAGTCCTTTATCACATGTTGGCCTTATGATCGTGTGAGGTTGGAATTCTGAGGGAAGTGAAAATGTTCAAGTCTATGCACAGTGGGGCAGCCACACAATACTTCTGTCTGAGATCATTTGTCTAATAACAATCCCTGAGGATAACTTGCTTTCAGATAGTGTTTTTCCCTCATAGATCTCAAGATACTTTGTAATGTTTTTTCCTATTCTTACTTACTGTCTGGATGTTTTATACTTTTTATTATAACTTTACACTTAAAGTCACTTATGGTATTACACAAGTGTAATAACATTATTACACTTTTTTTTTCCCCTAAGTTATTTTACTAGTGCTTTTTACTATCACTGTTTCCTCTACACAGAGGAGCGTTTATATGCTTCCAGTGTTATATTTTTAACACAGGGTTAAACTTTCTTACCACACTGGAATCAACATATGGTGCATGGTAGTGCTGGATAGAGAGAGATATTTCTTGGCTTTATTCATTTGTCATGAGCCAGGGTTTCAAAGATTAATAACACTGCTAAAATACACAAGGATCAGTATTTCTAACTTCAGTGCCTTTCCTTTCGTGGTAAAGGAAGACTGTATTCTCAGTTAGTTGCATTCCTATTCTGTATATTTTTCCTTGTCACTTTAATGAAGGTAATTCAACTAGTTTATCCAACAGTTTGTAATACAGTTACATATTTACATATAAAAATACGCATACAGCTTCATCACAGTCTTGGTGAATAATCAAACTATAACTATCGCTTCTATCTTGCAGGTTTCTTTGAAGGAACTACCACCTATGTGTATGAAAAGAAAATTAGAATGGTTCTAACCAATAAAACAAACATAAGATGCAAAATCCTACCGACAAGAGTGTTCAATTTTCTGCCTCAAACTCTGAGGTGTTCTTTCTCGTTTGTGCAGCTGTCCTTGCAAGATCTCTTGGTTATATATTGGCCTCTCCACACAATACTTGTGGTTCTGCTCAAGACACCCTCCACTTTCTTGAGCATCTTCCATAGCTGATCTCACCGAACAGGAGCCAAGGAAGAATTGCTCTACAGTCTCCACAGCAAAACCTGGCAGTAGAGAAAAAAGGTTTGGTCAGTGAACGTTGCTGCTTGAACGTCTCGTTTGGAATTTCCTTTCTGAGAGCGCGCTCTGATGAGCCAGGTAGCAGAATTATGAAAAAAGTTTAAAAGCACTAATCAGATGGTCAGTAATAGTAAGTAAGTAAATTACACTCATTATCTTTACTACTGGGAAACCACCGTTTTTATGCTTCTCCTATGTAAAGAAAGCTTTTGCATTCATTACTCTGTAAATAATTGCAGAAATGCAAAAATGGAAGGATATGTTTGGGCTTATCTGCCCTCTTCCTCCTCAGCTTCTAAAGGAAATGCGAATATCGAAGAGAGATTACTTTATTGCTGCTTACTCACAAACAGTAACACCCATCTCCAGAACACAGAACTTCAATTTTAACAATGAAAAGCTATTTCCTTTTCCAGATAACCAGTGCCTCCTGCACCTCCACCCTGCTTCCTCTTCCCTCTTTCAGAGGCTTCTTTTTCCAGACAGCAAGTATCTGAAGGACGTACAATTCACTGCTTTCAAAGAACTGTTGTTTCAAGGCATGGTTTCTTCAGGTGGCAGAAAGAGTGGTGAGGTATTGAAACAGGCTGCACAGGAAGGTGGTGGAGATGTTCAGGAAAAGTGCAGATGTGGCAGTTTGGGTCACAGTTTAGTGAGTACGGTGATGTTGGGCTGACAGTTGGATCAGGTGGCCTTATTGGTCTTCCCAACCTTAACAACTTTATGATTCTATGATACTGCTGTTCTCAGTCCTACACCCATTAAAATGGGGTGCCACTGCCATAAACACATGAACATGTTCAGGACACCCTCTGCTAATTACTTAGCCCTGTGGTGGCTACTTCTATAAATGCAACTTTGAATCACAGTCATTCACAATCCGAACTCTGACTCATAATTCAGAGCTCTCTTAGACTCTTCTTCTCTCCAGGGTGATACCCCTGGTCATTTTGTACCCCGTGTTTATGGAAGCAAAACAACAGAACTGCTACATCATTAAGTAGAGGTGCTGGCTAACCCTATATTTAAAGACAGAAAGTTCACACAAATACAGTGAAGAGAAGCCTAGGAAAAAGTGAGTTCCAAACTGCCTTTAAAAATAAAAGACGGATTTCAATTAAGCTCTTGTAACCCAGAATTTGAGAAGAGACAGCACTGATGTTTTTGATACACTGTGAATTAATAAGGAAAAAATACATGTATTTTAAACTGAATCTTACCACGATTATTCTAATCTGGGTAGAGATGTTACTTACAGTTTGATCCCTTTAAATAATGGGGGTGAAGCCCTTGTTATGAACTAGGTCTTTGGGCTCAAGTCCAGCAAGGTGTTTAAGCACATTTGCCTTTAACCAAGGGAGCTAACCCAGAGGTGCTTAGTTTTTGACTGTACATCAATACTTTCCTAGAAAAGGGTTGCTGCACAAAAATTAAACAAGCTCCACCTGAATGCTCAAAGCTAACCACGATTGGTCCAATGTCCTGATTCAGCAAATACAGTCTGCCCAGCACCAATATTACTCCCAGAGCCTTTAGTCTGACAAAGGTGCTAGAATTTTCCACTCAAGGCTCATGTTAGCTCTGTACTCTTGAAATGCATTTCAAACTTCTTTCCAGTCTTTACATGGTTTCAAGTCACGGGGAAGTCTGAATGACACTTTATTTTCTCACATTATTGCTTAGCAACCTGTAACTCTCAAATCTGAGTCCAGCCAACATTAGAACAGGATTATTCTACCACCTTCATGATACCAGATGTATCTTATCACATACTGCAAGCAATTACTTTCCATATTAAGATGTTAGCCAAACATACATCTGTAGCACTTTTTTTTTTTGCATCAAAGTCTACCTGCCCACAAATACCACTTCCCATTACACATCTTGCTCTGTTCCAGACAATGAGACACGCATGAACTCTAAAATAACTGAAATGCTAACTGCCCTAATGTAACATAGGGGAGCACAAGCAACCCAGAAGCTTTCCAGAGTGCAGTGATTAGTTTCCTGATAAAGGTGATGGAGATGCTGACAAGGGGATGTGCCCTGTTGGACCTGATGCTTACCAACAAGGAAGAACTTGTCAGAAACATGAAGCCTGGGAGAAGCCTTGGCTGCAGTGCCCATGAGATAGGGGAGCTCAGGATCATCAAATCATAGAATATTGGAGTTGGAAGGTTATCTGGAAAAACTCCCCTGCAATGACCAGGGACACCTGTAGCTAGATCAGAGCCCTGTTCAGCCTGACGTTGAATGTCTCTGGGGACAGGGCATCAACAACCTCTCAGGATGACCAGTTCCAGTGCTTTACTAAAAGGATCCTGAATGGAACAAGACATACAGCTGAATCACAGTCCCAGGCCTTGGAAGCTATGGGACATGGTCACAGAGAGAAGGATCCTAGAGAGTTGGCTGATCATCGAAGATCACTTCCTCCAAATTCAAGAGTTGTCCATTGCAATGAACAGGAGCTCAAGCAAGAGTGGTAGAAGGCCACTATGCTATTCAGAAGCACTTTGATGGGATGGAGAAACAGGCAGGCAGGAGCCTCACTGAGTTCAACACAAGGAAGCACAAAGTCCTGCCCGTGAGAGAAATTACTCCATGCACCTGTAAATGCTGGGATTTAATCATCTGGAAAGAAGCTGTGTAAAGACAATATTACCACAGATAATGTATATTGTCCACTGAGTAGCTGAGGAGCCAGAGAGAGCAGCATTCTGTGACTAGTTCTGCGTCCCTCCAAATGTCTGTTGACCACCAGTATTAGGATTTGCCAATAGAAATATGCAGGACTAACAAGTTCAGACTGGGCCTTCACTCTCAGCATACCCAAGGAAGAAGAAAAATAGTGAGAGTCATTCCCATGAGGACACAGCATGACAGTGATTTCTGAAAACTCCCAGACCCTCAGCTTAAGGAAGAGAAAGGTGATCTTCCAGCATTTGTGAGCCTTACTTAATAGTGGAATACTGTTCTTGGACAACCTTTGAACTTCATAGCAAGGATAAAATTAACTTGCTGCTAAGAAACGCTGCCATTAATCTTATCAGCCAGATAAAAGTTAAGCCAAAGTAGCTAAAAGCTGTATGCAAAAGACTTAAGAGTTACCAATTCTTTATCAGACTGATAAAAACCTGTTCTTATGTCTTTACTGCTACTATCAAATTGAAGGTGTCAAAGAAAAAAAAAAAAAGGGAAACAAATATCACTTTATAACACCTAACTCACTAGTAATCTAGCACTTTTTCTTCACAATCGTAGGTGATAAACAAGAGTTGTAAAGCCATCTACACTGATCTTGCAGATGACAGTAATTTTTGATCCAGTTTACATAAATGAGAATACAGCCATCAAATTTATAAGGAACTAATATTTGGTTGCTGTGGACATTCAAACACATACAGTGGATACTTGCTTGTTGCTTATATTCAAAATACAACGCATGAAGGGAAAAAAAAAAAGCTGGAGACATGAAGAACAACGTATTGCACCACTATTGCAGCCTTAAGAGGGTTATAATTTCAGAATGGGGCACTGCTGTTACTAACCTCACGTATCTAACATGAATGTACCTGAATCTGCCTACTACAACTCAAAGGTTCAATGACAGATCCATTGACCTGCCTGTTTTAAAGGAGCAGAAAGCCTTCCTTCTGGTGGCTAAGCACAGAAGGCTTTACAAGTTGGAAAAGCATGGGTGGAAATTACTAATACAGCATTACACTAGAGAAATGCATCTGTGCTGAGGAACTCCAAGTTTGATCATGGATTGCAAGTTTATCAAGTATTTAAAAACCATTAAGACTACAAATAAAGGGGACTGCCATTAGCCAAAGGGCTTGTGGAATTCACTGTTCAGAAAACATGCTCCACCAAAGGTACACTGAAAGGCAGAGCTATTGCAGGGTCTGTTGCTAACATCCCAAGAGCCAATTTTCCTAACTATGACTTTTCTCATTCCTTTCTTTTCTCTCTGACCTCATTCCTCAGAGCCCTTACGCCCTTTTACTTATCATCTTAAGTAATTATAAAATGATACCAAGCCAGAATTGAATTATTTTTTGAACAAGCACAACACAGATGTAAAATGACTGGGTGGGGTTGTACAGAATGAGTTTTCTTAGTTTTCTTGGACTGCACTTATCATCCTTGTTTCTCCTTTGCTACTCCCACTAAATACACTAATGAATAGATGTCTTAGAACTGCAGTCTTCTGGTAAAGCTTCACAAACTCAGAAATAGCTTGTGAACCAGAGCTTTCACTGTATAGGTGAAAGAAATGCAGAGGTTTCATGGGAGACTTCAAAAAAAAAATCTAACAATCAGGACCAATCCAGCTTTCAGACAGAAAACTTCCATTCTTTTCCACATGAAAGGTTGAGATGCCTGCACAGACAACATTGACAAAAGCTCCTCCATACACCCACTCCAGTTGTACTGCAGGAGCTATCAGCCCAACTGCACAAGCCCAGAGCAGCACAGGAATCAGCACTGGGACCAGGGGGGCCCCGGCCCACTCTGGGGGTGAGAGCACTGGGGCCTGGTACAGTTCAGCTATCAGAAGCTGGGGAATCCTGATCAAACATATGTGTACACAGATAACTGTTCTAGCAACTGGAGAAGGCATCAGGGGCATGTGTGAGCAGCTGCCAGCAACTGGGGACACAGGGATGCAACAGCTAGCAGCAAGACCCTCAATGTCTAAGTGCAATTGCTAGAGGGATCTACCTTGGAGATACAAACATATATGGACATATCTATTAATTTATACCTATTACCAATATGGACCTCCTTCCTACTTAAACAGAGAAGGAGATAGTTGGTGCTGTCTGTCTAATCTATGTGGCTGGTCACACATACAAATATACTGTGTATGCTGTGTGCCTGCTGGGAATACACCTCTAGCCTTGGTATTCATGGGACCTGGAGACGTGCAGGAGCAGCAACAGCCTCACCTGCCTCAGACTGCTGTGCTCAGCAT